ATATATATATATATATATATATAACAATTCCCAAAGAATTTCAAATAAGCTCACAAATATGATGAATAACAATTTTTAAAAAAATTTCAAATTAAATATCACAAATGACAAAATAATTTCAACTCTCAATTGTTCGGTCATTGTTGGAGCTCTATTCTAATAAAAAAAGCCCTACTATCATTATTGTCCAATTCTAATTTTGGGTTCTTCAAAAAATAAAAAAGACAAACAAACAAACAAACCAACTTGAAGCTCGGAAGTCAAGTGACCCACTAGGACCCTGAGTAGGTCGATCAATGCTTCTAATCATCAACGTTCATTTTCCTTTTTATTAATTTATGATTCGCCCTCTTTTCGTTTCTTTCGACCTTCACGTGGTAAATTATAATATCAATAATATCTCATCTACTCCCAACATCCATTTCTTTGACACCCTCGGATGTTGTCAAACTATAGAATACTTATACCTCCAATTTTGATCCATGCCCACGCATATAAACAAGAATAATGTTGTTCATTATTAATATTCTTATTATTCATTATTAATCTAGATCATCAAAGTAACAATGGACCTCCTAAGTTATTATCCAATCCATTAAATGCATCACAATTCCATTAGACAATGAATCAAGGAATTCACCATTACCATACCAGTGATAATCTCTACCAGTAACATATTACATTATTCAAAAAATGATTACATACGCTTGCAAAGTAGCTTAAAGACAATTTGCTTTATGTTCACACTCTGAGATCAGCTACGTGAAATCTTTTTCACCGCTCATTATGGTTCACCAATACATCTAATAATATATTCAAAGCAACTAAATTATTCACAAACTAGTATAGCTTGATGAAATATGTAGTACAATAGCTTATTAAAGTATCTCCAAAGGGCTTTTTAAAAGTAAAATATTATCTTTTTTAAAAAGTCAACCCTTAAAATTATGCTCCAAGAGACTCCTTTACTTAACATCTTATAATTAAATGCATTCAAAATACTCCAATTATCAATGCTCCTATATTGACCAATTTAAATAGTATATACAAAGAAAATGAAGAGAAATACTATAACCCCTGCTTGGTGGCCTTTAAATTAAAAAAAAACAAAAAACGAAAGTTTTGAATAGTATTTTTTGGAGGATGTGCGTTTAAAAAGTAAGAAAAAATTTTGAATTTACGTGTCGAATATTTTATTGTGTGAATGTATAACTGAAAATGAATGTGAAAAATAAATTAGAGTAGAGTAAAATGAATCAAACAAAGGCATAATAATTTGAAAGGAAGCTAGTGAAAATAAATTATGAAAAATATAATAAATACGTATTGAGAGTAGTCTAATTAATGGTTAAAGATAAAGAAATTATTGGAGTATCTAAAAATTTTCACTCTAAATTTATAGATGCTCGCAATATTGCAAAATATGCTTTTTAGAAATAGAGTCACTTGAAGCTACTCTTGTAGTTTATAATTTTATACGAACTTCCTCAATCCTAAAACAATCTTAAGAAAACCAACTGATCAACTTGATCCCATAATCTGACCCGTTATCAGCAGAGCAAGCAACTATTTTGCAAATTCTTTTGCATTTCCACCTTAAGAAATTGTGTCCCACTTGACAAGGTTTGTGAATTTGCAAAATATGCCACAATATTAATATGTACTGACAACAAAAAATTGAAGTAGGCATTGATTTTAACGTCCCAAGAAAAGGGTTTACATGTTCAATTTAATCAATTCACAAAATAAACAACAAACTGGAAGAAGGTTTAGCATACGAACCAAGTTTCTAATGATGACACAGATTTCAAATTATACATCTAACTTTTGAATCAAAATATACACTAACCTTCTTCAGTGGAGAATGATCATCTCTCAATTGTCTGAATTTTCTTCAAACCAAAAGTTCAGAGTAGAAGTCAACGGTTAATATATGTATATTATGGTAGAGTCAACAATCATCTCCTGCTACGTATGCTGGCAGAAGATTGGGGACGCTTATCACTGCTAACATCGTCATCCCCATCACTTCCATCAACGCAAATGGCATTGTTATTGATGCTCACTTCAGAACTAGCACTGCTTGTAGCAAGTGCGGAATCAGACATACTAACTGTCCTGCTTTTGGTATGCCCTGATCTCACACTATAAACAGAGGATGCTGGGATATTAGCCATTAGCGGGCGTAAATTGCCTGGAACTGTTCGCCTTATGCCCTGCACCAGAAAAATTGAAAACTAATCCTCCAAAAATGGGGACCTTGCATAAATTTATATTAAGCACCACATATTGATTTAGTCGCACAATTTCTCTAAATGATAAACCACCAACTTCAACAAAATTTCAAGTAATATTAGCATCACTTGAATATCAAAAGATGAGATTAGTGTACATACCATATGCCTTATTGCCATGTCTAACGATTTCTTTGAAAGCGTTCTCCCAAAGCCTGAACTGTCGGGTGATGAAGACTTTCCAGATAAGTTGCTAATTGGTGAGTGTTTGTCATCTTTCTTGGGTGGAGCCAGTTTCCGCATATTTACTACCCTCTCAACCATTTTAGTTCCATATAGAACAGGGCTCACGTTGTCATTAGCCTTGGCATGCAATCGATTTACAGCAGGCACGGGGACAGAGCTTCCACTGCTACGAGTAATGCCATTGGGAGGTCGTCCTCTTGCTGGAGAACATGACTGTCGTCTAACCCTTCCATTTGAACTGGGTTCAACAGATGAAGATCTAGAACTCGGTCCTCCAGGTCTTCCCCTTGTGACAGAAGGTGGCCTGTCAGACAGAGATGTCCGCAGATTTGGTGGAGCATCAAGGGAGAATCCAGGCATATCTGAGGGTTTCCATGGTTTGGGCCTCATAGTTGGAGAATTAGACACTGCCGGCACTGGATTTTTTGCTGTAGAGGTAGCAGGCTTTATAACTGAAGAAGAGGTTGGGGACTTAACTGGGGCACTTGACACTGATGTCCTACGAGTCGGGGTTGCTGCCCTTGACATAGACTTTGGTGCAGGTAAAGATTGTCTGGTTGTAGGTGTTGAGGATCTTATTGTAGACCTCGAGGTAGGTGTAGAAGATCTAGGCGGAGCTATGGGCTTAGCTGAAGGCAAGGTGCCACGGGAAGTAGGTGTTGAAGTTCTTGAAGGTCTAGACGATGCGGTCGATATTGCTTTAGATGATGTGGCAGAGGTTAATTTGGAAGAAGTGGACAATGTACGTTTATCAGTTGCTGAAGTCGAAGTGGATCTAGATGTTGAGCTCAGTGTTGGACGCCCAGTTGGTGTTGCAGGTCTTGATCCAGGACCCCCAGATGAAGAGGGCCTGCGGAGTCCTCCAGTTGAAGTATTTAATCCAAGAGATGAAGTTGGCTGTCTAGATAATAAATTGCTTCTACTAGCTTGCTCAGGCTGGGAGTTTGCTAGCTTCAACCATAGAAACAAGATGCAGAACAAAATTATGAAACATTTCTCCATACACCCTAAAACAAATATGCTAAATTAGAATAGACTCTCAAAGGCTGCTAAAGGGTTTGCTCCTAGTGCAAGTAGAAGTGAATTTATCAATCACTGCACTATTAGTTTTGGTGAGGATAATAGACAGTAACTATGAGGGTTAATAATCCAAATGGTCACTGAATTTTGCAAAAAGTTTTCACCGAATCACTGAACTTTAAAAATCATCCAAATCATCACTGAACCTTGCAGAAGATTTACAAGAGGTCATCGAACTTCAAAAATCACTCAATTCATTACTAAACTTGTCAAAAAATTTCCATGAGGTCACTGAACTCTGCAAAAACTTTTTTAGGAAGGTGACCCCTAGGAAAGTTTTTACAAAATTCAGTGATGAATAGGATAATTTTTAAAGGTTAGTAACCTCGTGGAAATATTTTGCAAAGTTCAATGACCCCATGAAAATCTTTTGCAAAGTTCAGTGATGTTTTGGGCGATTTTTAAAGTTCAGTAACCCGTTAAAAACTTTTTGTAAAGTTCAGTGATCATTTGGGTTATTAACTCTAACTATGCAACTGATTATAATCAAATTAGAAATAAATAACTGTAATATAAGAATATTTATTCCCTTGGCCTTTTTAGAGGCTGATCTCCTAAAATCTATTTGCTTCTTCCACATAGTTTATCAAATAATATAAAACATGTTGGCCACGTGATCTTTGTTAATTCACACTACATATTTGCTTTACACTTCATTAAAAAATATACCGGTAACAATGCACTTTAAGCTAAGAACTTTCAGGAGACACAGCCCTTGAATTTTAGGAGGTGTTGGTGCCACTTATAAATAAGGAATGACAGAACTCCTATCCTATAGAAACATGAAGAACACCTAATTTTGCATTCCAACCAATAATTTAACAGAACGCTATTATCTTTAGCTTACTCTAGATTTCAGCGCCGAGGGCCGGATTTTCAGAGTTTCCAGCTGGTTCCTAACAGTTTTCTGCGATTCGTTCTCTAGTGAAGGAAAAAGAGGAGTGCCTGGAGGTGTTAAAAGCCTGAAAATATAAGAGAACTTTTATGAGTGCCAGTGAATGACTGTACTGAGATCAAAGTGAAACTTTATGTTCAATCAAGAATTCTCAAGAAAATCAAGTCCTAGTCCCATAGACACGTCTGACAGCAGTAAATATGAATTTGGGACAATCAATTTTTTGCTTCTAAATAAACAAAGCCCTAATTATTTCCAAAGTACGTAATTAATATAAGCAATATGTTATGATATGCACAGATCTGAGTTTATGTAAAATCATGAAGACAATACATCTTTAAACCAAGAAAAATTACTACTGGTAACAACTCAGATTTATCAACTTATAGAGATGAACAAGAGGAAAACAAACTTACTTCATCAGCAGCCTTTCCTACTGAAGTTTAAGCTTTCTATTATGGAGCTACATTGCATATTCTAGGTATGCTCATTGTAAAGAAGACTTGCAGAGCTTTGATATCATAATCATGTGTATATATAAATACATTTTCATTACCTTACATCACACCTTGATATGCTAACAATAAAGTGGAAAACTAATTATCTAGATTATTCACCTTGACAAAATTACTCAAGGACAAAGAATAAAGTAAATTATTATTGGATAATTTATTAAGTTACTCCATGTACGAATATCCTATAGGCACTAAATTAGGCAGGTACAGACACATCCATTCCAAGCTAGCAATAAGTAGCAACTATGATGTATAAAGATTGAAAACCTTCCACATAAAAGTTCATTTATGGTGTTGGATTCAGAAGCAAACTATATGGATCTTGTGGAGAATCTTTGTTTGTCAACCCTAAGAAATAACAGTTATCGCATAGAAAATGCCACTATAAATGTTAAATGCGGAAATCACCAGATTCATTCTCATGGGAAGAAGAAGGTCAACAAAAGACGCTGTCTTTCAAAATAAGTATAAATGGAAGCTTACGTACAATAAAAGCACTTCATGAAGACGAATTAAATAGATTTATTTACCGTGGAAGGACATCAACACTACAAAGCTCGAAAAAAAATCACAATCGGCACCCAAGTTTAGAATGTACAAAAATAAAAGCCGCGGAGTTAATTAAAAATTACCACTCATAGTCATTTTTTTCACCATCAGAATTAAGAAATTCATCAGCACCAGTCTTCCGCAGAGGTGCAGGTGTACCTGCAGTTATATTAAAAATGGGAGTACTACCAATCTTTGATCCTGCATACAGAGTCATAATTAAAAGAAAATAAATACTTGAATAATAAATTAATTCACTAAATGATCAAAGCTTCAGACAAGGTAAATTTCAAGGATATTACTATCATTTTTTAACTTCAAATGATTATTTCACAATCTAATGTAAGAATCCAAAGTCAGTATCATTCAACCAAACAAAAACTTTAATCAATTTTTAAAAGCAACATCACATCAGATTACGTCAAAAAGGTACCTAAATTCAAAATCAAAATCCACCAAATAGATTCATCATACAATTAATTAACAACTAATTGAGACCTCATCACATAACACCAAAATTACCATATAAAATAATTGAACAATTTTCAACAAAAATTTAAACAAAATCAAATTTTTTAATACCAAGTGGAGCATCAAACTCGTCGGAGTTGTAAAGAAGAAGAAGATTATTTCGTTCCTTTTCGCGCTTGCGCATTTCTTGAAACAATGCCAGCTCCTCATCCTTGTTGTCCTTCAGTCTCAGATTCCCCATTTGTTCCCTCTCCGGTGCCCTAAAACTCCGATTCATCCCAATAAATATATAAAAAATAACCAAACCCTAAAAAGTAAAAAAAAACAATCCTCAACTTTCCATCCTCATTCTGAACCATTCAAGCTTCATAAAACCCCGCATTTCTCCAGACCCATTTCTTGACAAATAAATTGAAAACGCTAACTTTGCAGATCGAGAATCAAGCTAAATAATTGGAAACGAAACTCGGCTGAAAAAGCAATCCCGACTCCGCATTACACATTCATTTATCTAAAAACATTTCCAACAAGTTAAATGTTGTCAAACCCAGGGAATCTATAGATACGGTGTATATATATTTGAGTAAACGTAGATGGAGAAAGAGGGGTAAATGAACCTGAAATGCGAGGGCTAGTTCGAATAGATTTGAAGATCGGAAGAGAGTGGCAATGAGTGTAAATTAGAAGAGAAGCGCGGCGAATCTCATGGGACGATTCAAGTTTTTTGTAATTGGTTTTGGATGAGAAAGAGATGGTGAGAGTGGGGTAGCATTAATACAACTAACGGGTCTTTAGTTGTCTCTCTCTTAAAAGTTACGAAATCCTGAGAACTGTTCTGCTGCCGTGGTATAATTACGAAAGTCACCCGAGACTCATTCTTGTGAATGATTTAACATTGCACTTAAGTGAATCATTATTTTATGTCACGCAATTTTCATCAAAACTAGTGCTTGACGCTGGTGATATTGAATAGTATTACTTTATAAATATAGGTGGGAACGAAACCCACGTGGGGTTAGGATGGTATTTTAGAGGAGGAAGATTGGTTTAAGCTTGCAACGAGCAATCTTGGTTGTACAAAAGTAGTTTGTCATTGTAGACATCAAGTACATTCGACGTAGAAGGTCTTGGAGTCAAATTAAGGGAATGTTGTGTGCAAAAGCTCGATTCATGTTTAGCAATTCGTGGATTGAGGCAGTCTTCCAATCAATAATGTAGAAAAAATCATCATAATATGTGTGTTTAGATCGACGCATACTATTATTTGAATTAAAATAGTGCAAAGCTTAGCTTACACTTTAGTGAGGAAGATGTCGTCTAGAATCTCAAAACATGACAATTCACCTTCCGTGCATAAAAAGTCTTTACGAATTATTATTTCAATTATCAAAATAGAATCAACCATTCCAGTTGAGCATTCATGTCAACCATAGTTAGATAAATTAAAGTTGGGCTTCCCAACCTTTCGCGTAGTGCGATTTTGGATCCACAACCTATTTAAATATGAGAATTAAGATTCTTATACGATAAAAATAGTCATCTTAGATGTTAAAATGACATGCTGATTTTAAGTGAATTTTGAGATAAATATTAAGTAGTTTGACAATTTTAGTTTCTAAACTCATGCAAAACTCATGTATAACTTAGAATCCTATAGTGGTGATTTTGGTAAATTAAGTTTCACTTTTAAAAGAAGGCATAACCTGAACAAAAATTGGTTAATTCAACCCTAACTTACCTTTAGAAAATTGGGTTGCACTGCATATAAACCAAATAAGTCACCCACCACTGGGAGACTGATTGACTTGCGAATAATGATTGATGATGGGAGTAAACATATAGGAATTTTGAAAAGGTATTAACTGAAAGTTTTTGATTAGGCAAACATTCTTTTTATGGTTAATCATTCCAGTACAAAAATTTTACACAACATAATCCACATAAAAAGTAATTGACTTTTCTCTGAATGTCAAATTTAATACATATTTATTAAAAGGTCAAACCATCATTGAAAAGGGGAAATTGCAATGGAGGTCTAAAATATTTCATTTTGTTGTTGAATACGCCTTAACCTTTCATTTTTGCTACCGTAGTCCCAAACCTTTAACTTCCATTGCAGCCAAAGTCCATTTATTGATTCCGTCCACTTCTGCGTATATCAAACTTGAAATAAGAAATTTGAATCAAATTGCTAAAATAAGTGAGGGACAAAATGAAAAAATCATCAATTCCCACTGAACTCCAAAATTCATACAGTTTGTTTCCCTCTTTTTTGCCCTAAATTAAAGAACCCAATGTCTCATAGTTTCTCAAAGGCTGCAGTGAAGGCCATGGAAATGAATGCCTATAGAAGTGGAAGCCCTCCCTCTCTAGAGGAAGACCTTATGGATGAACTTAAATCGAGGAAGGCAATTTCTGACTTGCTCAGGCAATAAAGGTGTAGATGGATGCAACTTCTTTGCTTGGTGTGACTCTCAATGTATGAGAGGCCGAGGGAGCTAATTCCTGCTTTTCTTCGAGCAAGGCAAGAGATAAGAGCTGAAATTAGGATTGTCCATTCAATGAGAACCAGTTTGTGGAGAACTTAGATGCTAGGATTGTTTATAGGAGTTGTTGTAACCTGGATCTATAGCTAGATCTATATTGGTGTTGGTTTTAGATTTCTATAATGTGTTAGTTGTAGAATGTTGGTTTCTGACTTTGACATGTTGTTTTGGAGGCTATATTTCCCATTATCTATTAATAATGAAGTAAGTGCATAATTTACTGCGTCTCAATAATTTTTTATTTTCCTATTTTTGTGAATGTTTGCTTTGTAATAGAAGTGTAGTACATGTCCAAATGTTTTGTAGATAGTGCAATAAAGACCCTAACAAGAAAAAGAAAAAGGCTTGAATAAGGGGCAGCCTGGTGGGCATATAACTCCATTCCGAATATAGGCTAATCACTGGCTAAATCGGAGGTTGATGGTTCCTCTAATTTACATGGAGTGTCTTTTAAAATTACAAGCAATGAAAGTCGAAAGGGAAGCTTGAAGAGCGTGGAAAAGTTGTGGTCGCTAATGATAAGAAGAAGTGAATTTCCCTTATTTCATCATCATGAAGCTCGGTGCTTGGAATATCGGGGGCTTGAACTTTCCCCTAAAACAAAATGGGTTGAAACTTCATAAAGCAATATGATATTGATATTATTGGTGTTTTGGAAACGAAGTTAAGGCAACCTAAGCTAGACCGGGTGATGAGGACAAAATGAGAGGTTTCTTAAAAATCAACAACATCAAGCTGTCTAAATTTTGATTTTGAGGAATGTGTTGGTGACTACATCTCAAATTATTCATTGCTTCGCTACTTGTAAGATGAGTTCACTTACTTTTCTTGTTATCTTTGTCAATGGTTTTCGATACTATTGTGAATCGCATGCCGCTTTGGAATAACATTATGGAGTATGGATCAAATTGCTCTTTGCCTTGGTTGATCATGGGAGATTTTAAAAATGTACTCAAATTCAACGAAAAATGTAATAGGACGGATGTTACCCCATATGAGGTGAAGGATCTTGCTAATCCGTGCCTCAATGTTGGACTAACAGATGTGAGATCTATTGTCTGTTTCTAAACTTAGACTAATAGTTCGATGTGGAGTAAACTTGATAGAGCTATGTTGAATGGTGATTGGGTACTAGCAGAGTTTAATAGTCTTGCTAATTTCTTACTATCGAGATGCCTTTCGATCATTCACCATACATTATATCACTTTTTGGGCATGATAGAAGTAAGAGGAAGCCCTTTGGATTCTTTAACATGTGGGCCAACCATGAAATCGTACAAAATAGTTGGAAAATTGAGATTAGAGGAACGAAACGATTCACTCTATGAAAAAAGTTGCAAGGTCTTAAGGTTGAGCTTAAAAAGCCTAATGAGAAACACTTTGCCCATACTCTCCAAGAGAGTCGAGATGGCTACTTTGGCTTTGAAAGAGATGCAAGTGGACTTGCATGATGACCCTCTTAATGTTAAACTTTAAAGTAGTGTAGTACACATAAGGAAAAATGCTATGGATGTTTGTGAAGCAAAAATGAGCTTTTACTACCAAAAAGCTAAATGTGAATATCTAAAAAATAGTGACAAATGAACTAAATTCTTTCACTCAATGGTCAAAGGGAATGCCAAAAGGAATTTCATTACTACCGTGCATAAAGGAGATGGTTCATGTACTTTTTCATTGGAAGAAGTGGCCGATGAATTCATGCAATTTTATAGTGACTTACTAGGGAAAAATAGCCCGCAGTAACCTATTGATATCAATATATTGAAGGGTGATTCCATGTTATTGGAAGAGCATGGTTTGGCATTAATTTGGGATGTTTCAGAACTAGAGATCAAAAAGGTATTATTTTTATTAGAGATGAAAAATCTCCGGCCCGAATGGATACTCAGCTTCCATATTTAAAAAGTCTTGGGGTATTATTGGTAGAGAATTTATGGGAGCGGTCAAACAATTCTTTAATTCTAGCACATTTATAAAGCAAATGAATCACAAGACCATTGCTTTGGTGCTTAAAGCAAATCAAGCAACCAACATGGGAGACTATAGGCCTATAGTGTGTTGTAATGTGTTTTATAAGGTTATCACCAAAATCTTGCCTCTCGTTTGGGCCCTACTCTTGGTACTATTATTGATGAAGCACAAGCCGCGTTTGTGAAAGGTAGAAGCATGACAAAAAACATTCATCTTGCTCAAGAGATTCTTAGGCAATACAATCGAAAGAGATTTGTTCCCAGATGCCTTCTTAAAATTGATCTGAGGAAGGCATATGATTTGGTTAATTGGGAGTTCCAAAAAACTGTGCTCGAAGGGCTTGGATTTCTAACAAAATTCAATAGATGGGTGATGGAATGCATCACCACTCCCACTTACTTCATTGCGTTTAACGGAAGCCTTTATGGATTCATAAAAGGAAAGAAGGGACTTCGTCAAGGTGACCTTTCATCACTATTTTTGTTTGTAATTTTCCTTGAAAATTTCTCTAGAATGTTGAAGGGAGCAACCGATAATAATGAGTTCAACTATCATCCTAAATGTGGCCCTTTGAAGATAACTCACTTAGCATCTGCGAATGATTTAATACTTTTCCCTAAAGGAGATGTTATTTCGGCTGGTATATTGATGGAATGCTTATCCAACTTTGGAGACGTGTTGGGATTAAAGATGAATGTGAACAATTCTAACTTGTACACGGCGGGAGTTCATGGGCAAGCGTTGGAGGATATTCATCAACCAACTAATATGGTTAACGGATCTATGCTTTTCGCTATTTGGGAATATCCCTTGCGACGGAAAATTGAGAATTAGCTATTATGACTCCTTTATCAACAAAATCTCAACCTATGTTGGAGCATGGTTTAGGATATTCATCAACTATTTTGCAAAATACAATAGCTTAGTCTACAATAGAGGCAGAGTACATAGCCATTAGAGAAGCGTGTAAGAAGGCTATGTGATTAAGGGGTTTAATTGGTGAAATCAGTAAAGACCTGCAGATTTCTACAGTATACTGTGATAGTCAGAGTGCTATTTTTCTAACCTAGGATTAGGTGTTCCATGAGAAGATTAAGCATATTGATATGAGGTATCATTTTGTGAGCGAAGTAATTGCTCGTTGTGATATTGTAATAAGCAAGGTTGATACCAAAGATAACCTTGCTGATATGATAACAAAATAACTTCTCATTGCTAAAGTTGAGCATTGTTTGAACTTAGTTGGTGTTTGTCATTGATT